GTCCACCACATTCAGGCCCCACTTCACCAGGTGCCTCTCTTCAGCAACTTCTCTGATAATGTGACAGCCAGCCTCTGGGTGGATGACAAATCAGCCCTCAGGCCAGATCACCAATTTGGTTCACCTCCTTCCAGGATAACAAAGTCCAAAGTGATAGGAAGAATCCCACATCCTCACAAGAGGAAGGGTCTGCAGCCCACCTCTGGACCCTGATGGGTGGCTCACCGTCAGGCTGGGGCTCTTGGTGTCTCTATCCTTTCCTCACTCCTGAGAGGAAGGGTGGAAAAGATGGCCATTGTTCAGGAGCTCTTAGGAGATGTCTATCCTCCCTCCACCTGGAGCACACTCGGGGGCGGGGGGAGAGGAGCCACATGCTCTTCAGAAGTTAATATGCAGCTTCTTGTATAGGCACCGACTCCAGGGCTGGAGCTACAGGTGCCAGCTTTCCAATGTGCCGGGGGGTGCTCACTGCCCCACCTCTGACTCTGCCACAGGCCCTGCCCCCACTCAACCCCTTCCCACCCACTCCCCTGAGCCTGCTGTGCCCTCACTCCTCCCCCCCTCTCCCCCCAGAGCCTCCTGCATGCCACGAAACAGCTGATCAGGAGGTGCGGGGCGGGAGGGAGAGGCACAGATCGGCGGGGATGCCGATAGGGGGGAGCTGATGGCGGGCTGCTGACATATTACTGTGGCTCTTTGGCAATGTACATTGGTAAATTCTGGCGCCTTCTCAGGCTCAGGTTGGCCACCTCTGCCCTGGCAATTCACAAAATGTTACAGGGGGTTCTCAGGAAAAAATTCCCTAATGGCAGACAAAGCTGTCCATAGGGACCGCAGGCAGCATAGGACCAGCATCCCGCAGCCTTGGGGACTTCCAAGAGCTAAGCAGATCAAAGCAAGCATATCTATCACACTGAAGAGATTTAAACTTCAAACCTCCTTTTACGAAATAGAAAGGGAGGCGGATATTTTTTGCTGTTTTTAAAATGAAATAGGCTGCTAGTGTTGTTTTTAAATTATTATGAAGAACAAGTTTAAGCTTTGTTGTAACATGCATTGTTTGCCTGGACTGCTCAAGACCTGAAT